TCGCTGTTCATCTTTCAAAAAAGAAATTGGAGATTCTGCTAAAACTGACTTGATAGCCTCAGCTACGCGTCCGTCCTCCTGCGTAGCCATGTTTGTTTTGCTTCGGCCCAGCACTTCTTGCTTTCGTCAAACCCGGATATCCCGCCCTAAACCCCCAGACTGGCGCGTGATTGGCTCGCACACCCAGTGGTTCGACTCGAAAAGTGTAAGCGGGAGCGGTACAAGATGTATTCTCGAGTGTTTGTGAACTCACAAATACCGCGAGAATTCAGCTTGCAGGCAAGGTTAAGACTTTACATGGTTTTCAATGGGAGCAAAACTGAGTTGTCCCATCTCTGCTCATTCGCCCCCTACTGGCCAGGTTAATGAAACCCAAGAATGAGAACACTATGTATTGAAATTTGACTGGCAGTTTTGCAAAAGTGCAAAATTTAAATATTCATAAAGCTAGTGCGTTTTGGCTGTCGGTGTGCAACAGTGAGAGGAGAGACAATGGAAAAGGGTGAAGGTCACATTGTGGCTTTAAGGAATAGCAGCTGTTAGTAAAACTCGTATATCTTTTTACTTTATGGCACATACTTATTTTTGTTAATTTGCAGGGCTGCAACATGCTGGCCTGCATTCTTGTACAGAAACATGACTATTTTTGTGTGGCCACTGCTCATTGAATACTGTTGAACCCAGTGAAGGAAATGGTTTTGAAGAAAATTGCACATATACAGTAGCACTGTGATGAGAAAATGAAATGATATTTTAGCTCGAAAAGTTCAAAGTTAGGTGCTGAAATGCTTCCAGTGTATACAGGGTTATAAAGAACGCCCCTTTATGAAATCATTTATGAATAAAGGCTATACAGACGTCTATTTTTGGTGGTGTCTTGGAAAGAAGGGATTGGCTCGATACTGAAATAACCCATTATGCCTTTTTTTGTTCTTGACTTCTTCACATATTACTTTCATTTTGTATCTGCACTGAAAAAAGAAAACACAATTTCACACATTGTTTGGAAAAAAAAAGCAGAAGTGCCGTCAGCCACTTCAAGTGAAACACAATATAATATACAGTAGATTAGCAGTTGCATTATTTGTTACAACCTGTATGTAATGTTATTATGGAAGATGTAATGTCCTTCTGTAAATGTTGTTTATTGTTGTTTTATCTGAAATAAAGTTTATTAATGCTTCATATGTGAGTGGAACGCAGTTATTTGAAATGTCACTTTTTAATTACCATTGATAAATGTAGGCCCAATCTTTACGCTTTAGATCAAATTAATTTAAATGTGCACTTTGTGAAGAGGGAAAACTCTTGATTTACAGGTCAATCTACGTCCCCTCCCTCACCTCTTTAGGTAATGCTCAAAAGTACAATGAGCTTCCTCCACAGAGTGGCTGGGAGCTCAGGCTGAGCTGCTCAGTCACATAGGAGGAGCTTGGAGTAGAGCCACTGCTCCTCATCAAGAGGAACCAGTTGAGGTGGCTTGAGTATCTGTTCCGGATGCCTCCTGGACGCCTCCCTGAGGAGGTGTGTCAGGCATGTCCCACCAGGAGGAGACCAGGGGAAGACCCAGGACTGAAGGGACTCTGTCTCTCAGCTGGAGTCCGGACGAGCTGCAGGACGTGTGTGTGGAGAGGTAAGTCTGGGCGTCTCATCTTCACTGCTGTCCTTGTGACCCAGCATTGGGGAAAGCAGGAGAAAATGGATGGATGGACTTTGGTGAGAAGGCTACAACATACAATTTTGGATGAATCTTTCAAGACCACGAGAGTTGATGTTGATGCATTCATGTCATGTCGGAGAAGATTATATTGATCTGATAGATTAAAGTTTCCCAAAGTTCCCAAAGGGAACTTTGGGGGGGCCTCCCTACAGTGTAATTCCTTAATATATCTGCATTTTGATTAAAATCTAAATGGAAAACAAAATAAAATGCTCATAATAGAAAGTTAATTGTTTCATTAAATACAACATCTTTGGTTTCACGAGACATCGCTTTATCATAGTAATATTTTGCCTTAAAAAGAAAGAACAGAACTGCTTCCTGAAATGGCCAAGATTGTTTTAAAGCATAATTTGTAGCTAAACATTGTGGTTTCTCTATTGCACCACATCTATACAATATAAACTTTGAAGATTCTTGTCTAAAACCAGAGATCGTTCCTGTATTCCTCCAGTCAGACCTCTCCACAAACAGCTAATGATGCGTCTGTATGTGATGTCTTTCTAGTCTAGCCTTAATAACACCAAACTGTCAAATTCTATCAACATAACCTTTCAAAACATGATTCTTTTTTTTTTCTTTTCTGCTTTTCGCTGACAGTCAAAACCCTCAGAACCAAAGCAGCTTGTCTTGTTATTGTTTGCACACGGCCCTCTCTACCTACCGCCCTGAGAAGAAAAACCTTAGCATTCCTATGTCAAACTACATTTAACACTGGTCGCTAACGGACTGAAAGTGCTGCCAATTGGAAAACTGTTCTCTGCCCTTGTCTGCATTGCGAGTTCCTGCACTGTTTTTTCCATATTTGCTAAATGCACTATAGCTGATTAAAGGAAAGTATTTTGATTTGGGCCATTGACTGTCTACTTTATACAGTCTGCACAAAAGAGCGCTCTGTGGAGGGACGTGATTACATTCATGTGAGGAAAAATGTTTGACGTAGAGAGTTTCGATCCGTGGAACGCAGACAAAAGTCAAAGTTTAGGTCGGAATGAACTTTGAAATGGCAAAACACAGTTGGAGCCAGTATATGAACAGTGTATTTGCAAAAAACAGATATCTCCATTTGGATCATTTGTCTTCTTTTGGAAAAGTTGTATTCCTCTGGCTACAATCTCAATCGCTTTGAATTATTTGTTGTTTTTTTTTTCTTTAAAATTATTTAACAGTTAACCTTGCAATCAATTCATAAAGATAAGAATTCCTTTTAAAACCAAAGTTCAGCAACTTGCTCAAGAAGAGGTGACTCGTTATTGCGTAGTTCTAAAACTAGATCTGGCATTTCAAAAACCTCCTGATAAAGGGCAAACTGTAAGCCTTTTACAATGTTTTTCTTATGGAACTTTTCATATGTTGTCGAACTGATCAAGCTTGTCTTGCAAAATAGATATAGTAGTAATCAACAATATCAATACCAAAACAACTCCCCTTTAACAGGAATGACAATCAAGTGAATAAGGGAGATGACAACATGGGTAAATCTGTGTTTTGTCTTAGATTCCCGACAAATATATATTATTCCTTAAATGCAAAGTGCTGAGAGTTTTCTTTGCACTACACTGAAGTCACTGTCCATTCACTCTGTTCAAAATGGAGCTAAAATATGACAGTAGCCACAGCTGTCCTGGGGCAAGCCGACAGATGCGAGGAGGCCAGGCCACCACCACCATCATTCACTCACCAAAACAACCAACTCCCAGGCCCCAACAGGCTGTCAATGTGTCTGCAAACAGTATTATTAATTATTAACAGTACTTGTAATTTGTACAATATTTGTACAAATTGCAGGTCATTAATATGGACAGGGAAAATAATATGGACAATTCAAACGTAACTCCATGACAGCGTAGTGGCCTATAAAAGACTAATCGTTAACTTGAGTGAACTTCAGTGCGAGAGAGAAGTGTAAAGTGTAAATCCTCCTTAACAAGCCCCATCTTCCCTCCTCCTCCACTACAGCTGCTGGTCCTAAACTCACAACACGCTCCTCACATAACCGCAGGGGAGAGGGGAGAGGGAGGGAGGGGTGGGGAGGGCAGGAGCGCAGATAGGAAGCCTTTCAAAATAAAACACCAACGTGGAAAAACCTTGGAGCTGATTAAATATATGCATTCCGTGTAGTAGAATATGGTTATTATCCTTTAGCTTCTCGCTTATGAATATTGTATTTGTTTTGTCCAATAATCAAAAAGGCATAACATGTTGTTATTTCTAGTGTGATATGATTGGAGTGTATATCTTTTATTTGTATTTCTACACGTGTTAACAGTGAAGACAGTTTGTAAGACATCCAGACATATATACTGTTTTACATATACAATTAAAAACCTTATTATTATTATTTATTTATTGAAAGCTGTCAGAGGCTTAATACACAACAATAATATATCCCATGGACCATCAAATGGGCTGACCACAAAAAACCTAAAATTGGTAGAATATCCTGACCTTTAAATTGTGAAAAGAGTATTATTTAAGTTTATGGCTGACACAAATCAAAAGAGAAATCAATTCAATTCACTTCAATGCATTTTTTCACAGTCCTAAATCACAGCAGCAGTCATTGTTGTTGATTCGCCAACAAAAGATCAAAGAATCAAACAGTGAGAATTTTAGAAAATGTAATATTAACAAATACATAGGAGCCATTGGTCCATAGGTTTTATTGCTCAGGTTAAACCGATGGAAAAATGCTACCAAACAGCGTGCAGGCATCAATCTTAAAACGAAGGTTGTCTACTGGATTTTGTCTTTTGTTCATACTTTGGATTATAACATAGAGAAAGGACTGAGGCATTATATTATGTTATAGATCCCTATAATAATCAAACAATCATCACTCAGTTTTACATGTGTACTATAATAAAGCAACAGTCGCTTTTATTCTGTAGTTCTGTACCGGAAGTATCGCGATAAGTGACGTCTCTTGACTGCATCAGTGAGTGAGACTGAACAGAACAGGTTTTGGACGCCAGACTGACGCTGTGTCGCGCTGTGAGGAGGACTGGAGCAGCTCTTTCTCTCTCTCTCTCTACAAGGACACGCACTATTCTGTGGATTTTACGCTTCCGACATGACTCTGTGAACGAACTGCTCTGGGATTCCTCATGTCCTCTGCCCTGATGCCCAGAGAGACTGCCCATAGTGACTGGTTCAATCCCTTGCTTGGAATTACGCGCGACAACTAAAAGAAAAAAAGAGCCAAAGAGGGAAGTGTTGAGAAAGCGCAAGTTTGTTAAGTGTCTCAAGGACACTACAATTGTTTTGTTTTATACGCACAATGGCGCACTACAGACTTTTCCACAGCGCGTTGGCTCTGTTCTTTATGTGCGTGTTTTTGGACGTGGGGATATTTCGGGTGAATGGGCAGTACGGCGGCGATAGGGGAATGTCTATCCCGGATCACGGCTTCTGTCAGCCCATCTCCATTCCCCTCTGCACGGACATAGCATACAACGAGACTATCATGCCAAACCTGCTCGGACACACGAACCAGGACGACGCGGGGCTGGAGGTGCACCAGTTCTACCCTCTGGTCAAAGTGCAGTGCTCCCCGGATTTAAAGTTCTTCCTCTGCTCAATGTACGCGCCGGTGTGCACGGTCTTGGAGCAGGCTTTGCCCCCGTGTCGCTCCCTCTGTGAGCGCGCACGTCAGGGATGCGAGGCTCTCATGAATAAGTTCGGTTTCCAGTGGCCCGACAGCTTGGCGTGCGAGAGCTTCCCAGTCCAAGGAGCTGGGGCGCTGTGCGTGGGGCAGAACATGTCAGACCACACGGACGATCCCCCGCAGTACACCACCGAACGCGCTCCCTCCGTCTCCCCCACGGGTCACTTCAGATGCCCGGCTTCCCTCAAAGTGCCACACTATCTGAACTACCGCTTCTTGGGCCAAGACAACTGCGCAGCGCCCTGTGAACCCAAACGTCCCCATGGGATGATGTACTTTTCGGAAGAGGAGATGAAATTCGCGCGCATATGGATTGGAATCTGGTCTGTTTTGTGCTGCGCGTCCACCCTATTCACAGTCCTGACCTATCTAGTGGACATGAAGCGTTTCAGTTACCCAGAACGCCCCATTGTTTTCCTATCTGGCTGCTACACTATGGTCTCCGTGGCCTACATAGCTGGATTTCTACTGGAAGACAAAGTGGTGTGCAATGGTCACTTTGAGAATGACATGAAAACTGTTGTGCAAGGGACCAAGAAGGAGGGCTGTACCATTTTGTTCATGATGCTGTACTTTTTCAGCATGGCCAGCTCCATTTGGTGGGTGATCCTGGCCCTCACCTGGTTCCTGGCAGCTGGTATGAAGTGGGGTCATGAGGCTATTGAGGCCAACTCCCAATATTTCCACTTGGCGGCTTGGGCTGTGCCAGCGATCAAAACCATCACCATATTGGCAGTTGGACAAGTGGATGGGGATGTGTTAAGTGGCGTTTGTTTTGTTGGCATAAACAGCGTAGATGCTTTAAGAGGGTTCGTCCTTGCTCCCTTGTTTGTCTATCTGTTTATTGGCACCTCCTTCCTGCTGGCTGGATTTGTTTCACTGTTCCGGATCCGCACCATAATGAAGCACGATGGCACCAAGACAGAAAAACTTGAAAAGCTAATGGTGCGAATAGGGATTTTTAGTGTCTTATATACGGTCCCGGCTACAATAGTGATAGCGTGTTACTTCTATGAGCAGGCCTTCAGAGAGCAGTGGGAGAAGACGTGGATTAGTCAAACGTGTAAGACCTATGCTGTGCCGTGTCCTGCCCACGGTAACCCCAACATGAGCCCAGACTTTACTGTCTTCATGATAAAGTACCTCATGACTCTGATTGTGGGGATCACCTCCGGCTTCTGGATCTGGTCTGGGAAAACGCTAAACTCATGGAGGAGATTTTACACGAGACTGGCAAACAGTAAACAAGGAGAGACCACTGTGTAGCCTTACATGCCACAATGGACTACTTTTTATGACAAACTGAATGATTTTTATTACCAGTTTTTTCATGAACTTTTAAAGGACACATTTTTTATTGTATATAATATGCATCTGTCAGATTTTTGTAAGTATATATTTGTATTTAAACCTTTAAAAATACTTTTAAAAAAAACACTAGTTTGTTTTTCTTTTCATAGCCTACACACACTATAAACTGACTGCCCATGCGCTTGGCCAATCTCCCATTTCTTTTGATGATACATTACATTTCTTATGATTCAGATTCAGAATGGATTCATCTGATTGGGTAGCTGTGTCATGTATTGTATTTTGAAATGAGATGCAGTAGTGCAGTGAGTGGTCTGTTTTGAAATGACCATATATTTTGTAGTAAAAGCAGTGGCACCGACCTTTCATTAAACCGCAAAAAATAACTGTTAACAATCCGTTGAACTACTTACTCGTTTTGTTTAGTTCTGTCAGTAGTTTACACATACATTTTTTATCTCTGTCACATCTTTAGAATAAGAGAGTGAAGAAGTGAGGTCAACCTTCAATCAGCCAATCAGCTCTCAGCCCAAAGCTTGGCCTTTTTTCTCATAGTTTGCATAAGTTGAAATGTTCTCTAATAAGATGAAGGCAGCGTGATGTGGTCTGATTTGTTCACAAAAAGCTACTTTTAGCACATTTACACAAAGTATGAAACAAAAAAGTTAGGTACCTCAACTTTAAATTCAGAGCTGGGAAAGTAAAAGCTCATTTCCACTCACTGCAGCGCAAAAGTAAAAGTACCACACATTATGTTTACTATGTTTATATACATATACTCTATTGATTGATTTACTGTGACATAGTTTACTGCGTTTACATTATTATTATAAGTAAAAACATAATTTAAGAGTCTACCCTACTGCAAAAAGTACAATGAATACATTTCAAACTTATTATTAGTCCATACATAATATTTATTTGTGATCCCACATTTGTCTCCCTGAGAGAAACATCTAAAAATGCCACGCACAAAAAACAGATCTTCTTTGAAACGCCTTCTACTTTAGACTCACATAATACTTGAGTACTATGTTTTGAATACTCTCTCCTGACCACACTCATCACGTCCACAGTTTGGTGGACTCTGAAGCAGCTGAAGTGGATGTAAAGCAGAGGCCAGTCACTGCTGAGCACCACTGCACTTATCTACACGTTAGGATCTCATGCATGGATCTATTACAAAACCCCATGACAGGACTCCGCTGGGCCCTGGCTCTTTGAAGGCGGGACGTTCTGTAGCAGTGGGGTTATTCTGAGCACTGTCCCGTGAAACAGAAGTGCTTCCTCGTGGCTCCCTCCTCATCCTCATTAGCAGCTGCAGCCTGGTGTTATCACTGGAGACGAAAGGAAGAGAGAAAACATATTTGATTGTGATTCGTTGTGACAGATGGTGAAGGCTCTGGTGGTTTTTACATTCCTTCCCATATAAAGACGTTATGGCCCTGTCTATTTAAAGGGGGCATACCTGTGGCACTGGTATTCCGCTGCTGTCGTCATGGGAACATTTGCATTGCATTGTCCACAAGCCATTTGCAGTGATGACAAATTTGGGAACTGCTTTTAAAACATGATGTCCTGTTTCTTTGCCCAACAGCTCCCCCTTACTGAATGTATTACTTTACAGTTATTTGACTTTCTGAATGTGAAATCTCTAAATACAGGAGACAAAACTTTTTGTTAACATACAATAGAAAACAAAACAGAATGTTTGTAGAAAATAAATTGTGCTTTAAAGTGAAGAAAACTTTGTGCTTGTTCCATTCAATTTTGTTTATTTTTGTATAGCTCTAAATCACAAAAGCGTCATCGCAGAGGACTTTACAAAGTTATCAATTCCAAAACAGATCAGATAGTCAAACAATTCTATCAAAGGCAATTAAATAGTAATTTAATAAAAGCCATTGGTCCATAGGGGTCGGGATGATCGATGTCCATAAATGTTGATAAATATCCATAAAAATGTCCCAGATTGTCTTTGGCCCTCATGCATCGACAATGAAAGACTCAAAAACCCAGTGGGAAAAGTGAGAAATCTTAGGGTGGCCCACATTGAAAGTGGGATCTGCTCCCATGTACGAACAGGCTCTATGTCCAGGACTCAGGCTGGATTCAAACCGATAGTGTCCCCTACAAGTGACTGTAGATCATCAATATAAATGTGCTGCATGTGTTTACAAACTTCATCCTTTCATTCAAATTCATTTGTTTCCCTGTGTTCTTGCTTCTATCTAAATTGGGTTTGCGTATCTGAATTGCGTTTAAATTCTTGTTACTATACTATAATACTTGGCTGCTGTCAACCCATAACATTTAATCAAGTTACTTAACCTTGCATGTGAAAGCCTGATCCCGTCTGATCTCAGCAGATACTGTGATGGGAGACCGCTGGGAACACCAGGTGCCACAGCGGGGTGGCTCAGGCTATAAAGTGCTGAGCTGTCGTTGTGTCCTTAGGCAAAACACTTGTTGAGTAGGAGTTTGGTTGTGCATGAGTGACAAGTGGTTGTTGGAGACGGCTGGTGGCTCAGATTGGCAGCTTCGCTTCCTTCAATCTACCGCAGGGCAGCTGTGGCAAACTGACAGAAATGTTGCTTATTGCAAGGGGAATTTGGCATCTGAATCTAGCAACCACTTTTACTGTATTTTCCCTTTGGACGCAATCCCAAATGAAGTAATCGGATACTGTTGTCAAAGCTCCAGGAAGATCCAATAACAATGAAAAACACGTAGTGCACTAATCTGTCAAGAGTGAACGATTGTAAAACACAGCAAAGTCTTACTTACAAAAAGTTAAACAAATTAACAAAGAGCCCAGTAGATTTAAACATCCAAAATTATGAAAAACAAACAGGGTAGGTTGTGGGGTGTTGAGATTAGCGAAAAGAAAAACACAATTTTTTATTGTTTTTGCCTTTGTGAATGGACGAATGAACAATACCATGTGTGCCTTCTGTAAGCGTCCAAAAAAGTTCAATATAAACTTAGGACCTGGCATTAAATAAGAATCTTTAACAGATCTACACAATGGCATTGTCTCAGGACGCCCATATATGGACTTCCACTAAGACATAGGGCCTGCCCAATCAGTCATAGGCATGCAATAAGTTTGAATGTGCAATTTGTGATGTTTGAATGTTTGGTGCTCACTTACAAATCATGCTAACAACAAAACAATAACATATGTAACTAATTTGCTTCCTCCCCTCATGATCAACCCTCCTCGAGTAATCTCTGTGATTTTAAACATATGACCTCATCCATGTAAATGTCTTGGTTTTATACAAGGCTTTTGGAAACTCAAAGACACTGTAATTATTCATTCACTCCAAACACGTTGGTGATAAACTACTACTGTAGCCACAGCTGCCCTGGGGCACACTGACAGAAGCGAGGCAACCAGTATGTACCATCGGTTCCTCCGACCACCACCAACCATTCACACACACACCAGACTCATTCTAGGCAATGGGGGTGAAGTGTCTTGCCTAAGGACACAACGGCAGTGTGGCACTTTACAGCCGCAGCCGCCCCATTGTGGCTGGTGTTCTCAGAGGTTAAGTGTCTTGCCAAGGACACAACGACAGCAGACATCAGTAGAAGTCGGTGGAGAAAGTCTTGTGGTGGCCTCAAACCCACGACCTTCAGGCTCAAGGTCTTTTTTTGCACTTCTTTCGACACAGCTCCTCCTTCTGCTGCTGAGCTATTGTTTGGACACAAAGATAAGAGGGGAAATTTAGGTTTGCCTACTTCCATTTATCAGCATTTTCCTGAGGTTTTGTGAGGATGTGTTCTTATTTCTGAGCCCAAATCCTTAAGTCTGGTGGCTCAAATATGCGCAGCAAAATCCATCCAAGTATTCTCTTTTTCCTTTAAGACGAGCTGGAGAAGGAAAGGCCCAAAACCGAGCTGACACAATGGTCTCTTTGTGCTTGTCTCGTGTGTCCTCGCTTGGCTCAGGTGAAGAAAGCCAAGCACAAAAAGGGAATTTCACACATGCTAAAAGGATGTCGTTTTTCTTTTTTCTCCATTTGATTTTTTTTTTTGGCACATAGCATTGAGGACTGTAGACTTCTTTTTCTGCCGCTGCTTTCAGCCACAAGCAAGAGAGAAAAATTACAAGCTATTTCACCAGCTTGCATCCAGATTAGCCTGTAGAAATGTAAAATAATGGGAGTTAAAATGGTGGAGTTTATGCGGTGTTAGAATAAGAAAGAGTGATTTTTTGAATGGTAATAGGCTGTTTGGCAAAGTTTAAGGTAAGTGCACAATCTAATCTTTTTGGTGGTTTGCGGACCGCCATCACGTTCAACCAATAAATACATGTCACTGACCGGGCCAATTTTTGACAATTTAAACCCATAAAAAACACTAGTATTTGATGACTTTGTAAAATATTGGAAGCATTAGCGCAAGAGAGAGAGAGAGACATTCCGTTAGCTTCGTAGCATAATTGGCTAAGTCATTTTATTTGGGTTGTCTATAAAAATACACATCTATAAGCTGTTTTGTTGTTTGTTATGGTTTGCGGCACGGTGGCTGAGTGGATAGCACTCTCGATTCTCAGCAAGAAGGTCCTAGGTTCGAATCCTGGTCGGAACAGGGCCTTTCTGAGTGGAGTTTGCATGTTTTCCCCGTGTCAGCGTAGGTTTCCTCCGGGTGCTCCGGTTTCCCCTACATGCAAAAAACATGCACATGTAAATGAGAGAGTGAATGGATGGTGTTGATTTGGGGCTGATGCGTCAGTGTGTTGGAACAATATCTGAACTCTGAACATCGTAAAGCGCTTTGGGTGACCTTGGTCTGTAAAATGCGCTATATAAATAAACATTACTTACTTACTTACAAAATCGTTAATTATTAGGCTGATGATTTGCAGCATTGACTCCAAATGTCGTCATCTTTCATTTTTTTGGCTTTGAATTCATCCAAATGATTTAGTGGTGTGTAGTTCT